GGGGGGGGATCAATTTAGCAGCGTGGATAGCTCATGCATTCTCCCATATAATCATACTATCCATGTGTTAATTGCCACAACTGACAGGACTAAAAAGACGGACGATAAAAATTACTAATAATGACATCTGCTTTACCCTCTGCCTTATTCTAGAGAAAAATAAATGTGGCACGAGAATATCTAATGGCATATTGATGATCTTTCACACAGGACTGAGTTTATAACCTTGCAACAAATATTGGATAATAATACAAAAACAATGTAATTACTTGAATTTGAATGGTATGTGGTGACATCATAAAACAATAACTGTGAATGAACAGAACATTTCTATTTCTGCAAACTAACAGTGTGACTTTGTTCACCTAATAAGAAAGCAATTGGAGATTAAATAGTGCAAAAGAGAGATAAAATGCTAGATTTTTAGTCATATATATTATTACATTATTATAATAATATATAATAGAGATATCAGCTCTGTTTTCCTACATTGTTCTCTGCTCTAGATAAAGAAGCACATGTATAAATATTTGTTGTGCCTGTATAATCTCTCGAGTGCATGGCTCAGGTATGGTATTGGCACACAAGCCATGTCACTTGTATTTCCACTGAACATCACAATCACCTGTCCTGTGGGTAATTTGCTGTGAGGTTTGTGGTAAAGAATCACGGTTGGGTCTGGACATCAATAATGAGCAGGTGTAGGAGTGCACTTCTGCCCAGACGTGTGTCATGGTGTGTCCAGGGAGCACGGCTAATAAGGGTTTAAAAGCCACAACTGTCCACTCCGCCCCTTAACAGGCCTCCAGCTGTCTTTCTGTCAGAAAGCACCCTGATTCCCTCTGACAGAGCAGATCACTGATGGCAAGAAACCACAGGGGGGGAATAGTTATGTCAACAAAGTACAAAGCACCACCAAACTAGATCAGATTAGTCATGCTAGTTAATTAAAGACTTAAGGTTTACAGGTTTTGTCTTGTTTTTTTAATTGTTTTAAAAAAAATCAAAGACCCTTGAAGAAAAGAACAAATACTTCACTTTGATTTATTGATGGAAATTGCAATGTGACGTCTGGCAAACAACATATAAATAACTTAAAGGCCATCTTAAATGCATTCCCATGAAATTTTTAGTGCCGCTGTAATATAAGCCACTACCTGTCATGAATCCCAAATAACCTTGGCTCTATCCTCTTAGTTCAGCCCAGTGTGCCTCATCCCTTATTACTGGCCTGACAAGGAAATGTTTACCCATCCGACAAGAGACAAGCCATTTCATATTCGGAAAAAGCAATTTCACCTGACTGGAGTAGCACACTATGTCCCCATATCCTTGCTGGCTATAATTTTGTTGTCATTTTGTGTGCTGTGATCATATCATTGAAGTGACAGTGCTGGGCATTAGGTAAAGTCCCTAAGCCGGTGCTCACTTTCAGGCTTTTTCTCTCCTTGTCATTCACATTGATTAGATTAGACCCAGGTGGCAAGCAGCTTCCTTTGGCACAACAATGAAAAATGGTGATACAGCGGCTTGAAGAAAAAGCGTGTTGTTTTATGCTCAACTGAACATTGTTAACCAGAACTGTTTTTTTGGGAAAAAGTATTTTTTATAATCATATGTTTTTGTATTTTCACAGATTATTGAGGGATTATTCTAAAGGAGATCTTTCAAATAGGTTTGTTGCAATTTTTTAATACTATGCCTACATTGACAAATTGTAGATGTGTATATGTACTCATTTGAATTAAATCTAAAAGTATGACAATTACAAAGTAGAAAGAGCATAAATACTTTTCATAGAGACCCATTGCATTTAGCTCATCTGGTCAATGGTGGGTTTGAGCAAGGCAAGGGGAAGAGATCCTAATCTACACGATGCTACCTCCCGGAGGGACAAGGCTGGCCAGGCAAAACAAATCAGCCCCCCTCCTCTTTGGTTATGTCCACTTGCTGGATGAGCCAATAGAAAGAAAGGACTTGGTCTGATAAACAGGCACCAGAGCACCTGGGGAAACAAACGGAGTTGCTGCACGGGTGATTCAACAATTGGTTTGTTCAGGGGAAAAGAAGCAAGCCCATTTAGCTTGTTAAAGATCAGTGATGGAAGTGAACCATAATCCTGTAATGAGGAGAGCAGAGAGTGGCCTCTTTTGCGTGGGCACAGACAAGCCTGTGCTTGCATGTTTCACAGGAATAGATAGCTGGACCATATAGCTATATACTGTAATGACCCGTCTTGTTAGCTTCAGAGATTCATGGCAGTTCCTTAGAGATACAAACTTGTAGATGCACCAGTGATACAGGCCTTGATTGGTCTTCTCTCATCCTTGTCTGGTTCAGACTGTGGGTTAAAGACACTGCAGTAGAGCTGAACCAAAAGTTATTCAGTGAAGTGGAAATGATCAGTTTTTGATGTCGTAGTCAGCGATGTTGTACTGCACTACTTTATATTGATAGGAGTTTCTAATTTTTTGTCTGCAGTACACACTACACACAAATTATGCAATGGAATACATCTCCATAAAAAATGTCCAGTGTTGATTTAGCACCTACCTGACACAGTTCATAAGGGATGCATTGAATTTCATTATTGTTTATTTGTATACCTAATGAACCATAAATGTATAAATCCAGTGCAATTTTCTAAAAGGCCTTTCAATATACCATATAGAATAAACAGTGTGTCCAAAGCAGTCTGTGTTAACTTAGAAATGACTGTGTTAGTAAGTTATGCAGGAAGGTGTTTATATCGGTTACAGTTGCTCTGAGACTGTAGCCATTCTAATATTTCATTTTATCTCATGACAACATCGTCAAAATCATCCTGACAAAGTTTCATTACACAGTGAAGAGTTCAGGTTTTGGTCTGAAGGAAACAATAATGAATTGTTTGTGGTTTCACATGATCTTTTCAGTTTTATTGTCTATGTACTTCAACCAAACAGATGGGCAGTTCTCTCAGAGATCTGCATCCTGTGCTGACAATCAAATATGATCTTTATTGGAATATCCTTTTGTGAGAAATACAGATTTCTGTTCATAATGGTTCATTGTGTATAACCAACAGACTTAATATGAGGTAATGAGCCTCGACAGTAACTTTTTATTTTATCGAGCAACATCAAAATTATTCCAGCATATCTGCGATTTTCCTTTACTTTCTGTGAGATGTATTTTCCGCAGCAGCCCTGTTATCAGTCCACTGGTTCATAACTTTAAGGCATCAAATATTTATCAGCACTGGGACTCATAAACACATCTTCAGTGGGACGCCATGATTTCACGCTATACCACAAACATTTTAAGACATCAGATGCACTGCCTGTCATGGACTGTCATTTTTGGCGTGTTAATAATACATCTTGGCTTCTTCGGCAGACATACTTTGGCACTCATAGCGCATAAATAGGTAAATAACACGGAGAAATAGGTAAATAACGCAGCTGACAATCTTTATAACCCTTATACTTTCATCTTTTTTTTTGTTTTTCTTGCTCATATTCATTAACAGAAACATGTCGGAATTCAAATATTTTAATAATATATAGGCCCATGTCACACTAAAAAAACAATCACTTTGTTCACAGCACTTCTCAGATTGTCCTAATTATTAAGAGCTGTCTAATTAAATTAAAGCCTCTAGTTAACCAATGGCAACGCTTGTTTCATTAGCTAAGCGGGGAGAGTGATGGAAAGAAAATCCTTCCTGATTGCTGGATGCTAATTTGCTGCCTTCGCCACAAGTCATAGCAAGGCGTTTTAGTGTTAGATTAGGAAAGGCGCGTGCAAAAGCTTGCGATATAGGTTGAGCAAATAGTGGCTTCTCATTGAGCTATGCAGGTCGAGAATTGCATCTCGCCAGCGAGTGATCTCTCCAAGAAATTTATGAATGTGGGCAGAGGCTTTTCGAGCTCCGATGGATCAGAGCTTTCGTTGCAGGACCATCCTATTATATCTGCAAGTGACAACCTGGAGAGAAGTTCACCTCTGAAAAAAAACTCCAGGGAGATGACGAATCAGTCAGAGGCAGACAATTTTCCTGACTCCAAGGACGCATCGGGGGACGTCCAGAGGGGCAAACTCTCTCCTGGTCTTCACGGAGTCTCTGACATCCGTCATAATTTCGATGGATCTGCAGGAGAAAGGTGCATCTTTTCTCCATCTACCCAGCCACAGTCAGTCTCAGCAGCTCCCAGTGCCATGTTCCCTTACCCGACCCAGCATGGACCAGCGCACCCGGCTTTTTCTATTGGAAGTCCCAGCCGCTATATGGCCCATCACCCGGTCATAACTAACGGAGCTTACAACAGCCTTCTGACCAACACTTCTCCTCAAGGCTACCCGACAGCGGGCTACCCTTACGCGCAACAGTATGGACACACTTACCAAGGAGGGGCTTTTTACCAGTTCTCCACGGCGCAAGCAGGACTGGTTCCGGGGAAAGCGCAGGTGTATCTGTGCAACAGGGCCCTGTGGCTGAAGTTTCACAGGCACCAAACGGAGATGATCATCACAAAGCAAGGACGGTAAGTGCACGTATACGGGCTTGCCCGACCTGCAGAATTTCTGAGCTATCATTGAGAAGCTTTTAGTTTAAAAGTGATGTGTATTAACATCGAATCACTATTTCCCTGCACATAAAAAGAGGAACGGATTCAATGCCAAAAAGGTGGAAATGTCGCCTCATTTTTGTGCATTTTTTTTTGTTATGAGAGGCGTTTTATAAATCTGTCTTCCTTTATTTTCCACAGACGAATGTTCCCATTTTTAAGCTTCAACATTTCTGGCCTTGACCCAACTGCTCACTACAATATATTTGTGGATGTAATACTTGCTGATCCAAATCACTGGCGATTTCAAGGAGGCAAGTGGGTGCCATGTGGAAAAGCAGACACAAATGTAACAGGTAATTTGTCCCTACATTTATTGCAATTAACATTATAAATTCCATAGTATAACTTTATTTTTATACATTTTGACCACAGTATGTTTACAATTTAAAATCCAGGCAAACGAATTCATTTTATATAATATTATATACACATATTACGTGTTTTAATTATTTGTATTTCTTCGTATTCTTTTTAGGAAATAGGGTTTATATGCACCCAGACTCACCAAATACCGGAGCGCACTGGATGCGTCAAGAAATATCATTTGGAAAGCTAAAGCTTACAAACAACAAAGGTGCATCCAACAACACAGGACAGGTAATGCATCATCATACCCAATGCTTCAATTACAAATCGATTTTGGATTATTTCTAACAGCAGATGGTAAAATGCAATGATTTTTGCTTGTTGCATATAGCCTTATTATAATTTTTCTTCTGGAGGGGTTTACTGCCTTACTGGTATCATCTACAGCGCAACAACATGCGAAACGTTGTTACAATAATCATTAAAAAAAAAGATATATAATCGAGTTAAAACAGATAAGCATTCTGTTTTAACCATCTATCCAAAGTTTGAAGCTGAGTTTCTGATGTGCGTCTTGAATCTCCAGATGGTGGTTCTCCAGTCTCTCCACAAGTACCAGCCCAGGCTCCATGTGGTGGAAGTAAACGAGGATGGGACAGAGGACACCAGCCAACCAGGACGAGTCCAGACTTTCACCTTCACAGAAACGCAATTCATCGCCGTCACGGCTTACCAGAATACCGATGTACGACCACTTCTTAATTCACACAACACTGCAAATTTCTCCCAAACAACCCTTATTCATTTTAACAAATTAAATATTATTGAAAAAAAAAGAAAAATAATTCTAGTTATTGTAGTTATTGTACTTATTGATGTTGTAACAAATTAGAGCTACATGGATTATAATACAATCAAGACAATGAAAAAATGAATATTCCTGAATTTGACGCAGTCTGCTTGTTTCCAAACACACGCTGGTTTTCTAATCGATATATTATGTTTTCCACAGATTACACAACTGAAAATTGATCACAATCCGTTTGCTAAAGGATTTCGGGACAACTACGACACGTAAGTTTTTATTTTATTCTTAGGATTTTTTGACTTTTAATCGATTGTAATTTTGTTAACCTCTGTGTTTAATGACATGTGGGGGTTAGGGTTATCATCATATTAAAAAACGTAAATGCACTATAATTCTGCTGATTATTGTTTTCAGTTGATGTCCAAATTAGAGGGGCTCATAAGATTTTAAAAATTAATGAAATAAATAAAAAATAAAGAAGAAACTTTTCAACAGCTGAAGCAATGAATTTTCAATTTAACAGACATTTCATGTAAAGTCTTGAAAAAAATTAACAGTATCCAAAAATTCGTTAGAATTGTTCGGTTAATCATTGATGACGTACATTTCTCGTTCATGTCAGTTATTCTTGTTTTGCTGAAAATAACAAGCGAATATTGACCCGTACAATTCAGAAGTAAAAAAACTGAACAAAGGGACATATTTTTGACAATGCAACGTTGCATCGATATAAAGCAGCATGTCTATTTGGAAACACTCCACTTGCGTAATGATTATAGGTTTGAAGGCACAAGTGTTTTAAAATCATAAAATTGTCTCTAGAATGGCAGATTTCCCCACGTATGATAATCTAATTGTACATTTCTTTGATTTCTAGAGAACCAGCACATTTTAGTCACTGAATTGTTCCTCTGTTTTTCTCTCCATCTTTTCAGTGTCTACACAGGCTGCGACATCGACCGCCTAACTCCATCACCGGGTGACTCTCCGCGTTCACAGATCGTGCCGGGTGCGAGATATGCCATGCCTAGCTCTTTCCTGCAGGACCAATTTGTCAGCACTTATGCCAAATCTCGCTTTCACCCTGGCGTGGGGACTGGTCCTGGCATGGAGCGCAGCGTCCCACTCGGCAACAGCTTGCTGTCCCCGCAGCAAACCGACGAGTCCACTGTTGCCACCCCCCCGCAGCGATGGTTTGTCACCCCTGCCAACAACCGACTGGACTTTGCTGCCTCGGCATACGACGCCGCTGATTTCGCCGGTAACGCGGCCACCTTGCTGTCCTACGCAGCGGCCGGAGTGAAGGCTCTTCCCCTGCCGACTGCAGGCTGCTCCAACCGGCCTCTTGGCTATTACGCAGACCCGTCCGGCTGGGGAGGACGCACACCGCCGCAGTACTGTGGTGTAAACAGCAAATCCAGCTCGGTCTTTTCCTGCTGGCCCGCTAACTCTATCGGTGGCAGAGCGGGCACTAACTACCTGGCCGAGGAGGGAGACTCCATCACGACGGAGAGGTCGCCGCTCGGCGGTTCGGACGAGACCAAACCCAAAGACATGACATCCGAGTCGAGCTGGATAGAGACGCCGTCCTCCATTAAGTCAATTGATTCGAGCGATTCTGGTATCTTTGAACAGGCCAAAAGGAGAAGAATCTCACCTTCTGCCACGCCAGTTTCAGAGACAGTGTCCCCGTTAAAATCTGAGCTGCTGGCACCGAGAGAGTGTGAGAAAAACTGTACAAAGGACATTGGTTATTACAGTTTCTATCCTCACAGTTAAAACAATAGAACAGTTAATCTATCTATCTATCTATCTATCTATCTATCTATCTATCTATCTATCTATCTATCTATCTATCTATCTATCTATCTATCTATCTATC